TAAAATACTGGACATTACGCAGATAATAAATAAGTAATTCAGGGGCATCTTTACTTTTGCCCTAGGCAACCAAGTGCAGGAAAAAGCATGCACATACACAGGTCTATGTGCGAGCCTCAGGCAGTGGGAAATACCATGAAGAAATGACGGCCACCATCATCGTTACTATAACCGCGTGAGTCCACTGGGGCAGCCACAACGAATGGCCACAGCCTTTGGGGGCTGACACACAGGGACTTACTTGCTCACAGCTCTGGAGGCCGGAAGACCAGGATGGAGATGGGGGCAGGGCGGCTTTCTTCTGAGGCCTCTCCCCTGGGCTCGAAAATGGCCGCCTTCTCCCTGTGTCCACCACCACCTTTCATGGCCACCACTTCTCACCCGGACGGAAGTCACCCTTATGTAGTCACCGCTTCGGCTCTCACCAGCCACCTGCGTCCCCTCTCTTAGCAGCCAGAAGAATCTTTTAAAAAATGAAAATTATAGTACGGAACTCCCCTGCCTAGAACATTCCGGTGGCTCCCCACAGCACTGATGTCTGGGAGGTTCTGCCTGAGCTGGACCTGCCGGCCGCCCTGACTTGGGCTCATACCGAGGCCTCCAGCCGCCCACCTGGCGCCCCACCCTCCTGTGCTGATCTCCCACACACTATCCCCTGGCCCCTTCAGAGGACCTTTACATTTGCTCCCCAGTTCTTCACGGGCTGGCTCCTTCGAATCCTAAAGATCTTAACTCAAAAATGGCCTCCAGAGAAACTTGCTCCCACCAGAGTTATACACAGTTTCAACCCACATCACCACGCCCTCATTTGCTAACGTGTCATCTTCTACCTTCCTTACGGCAATGTGCGACACTGTCCTGTTTTATTTACTTGAGAGCACTTGTTACTATCTGAAATCTGTCTGCTGGGATATTGTCTGTTTCTTCCCTCAAATGTAAGCCCCAGGGGATTCCGTCGGTGAAGCGGCCAACTCTTGATTTTGGTTCAGATGATGAGCTCAGGGTTGTGGGGTTGAGCCCCAGGCCAGGCTCCCTGCTCAGTGGGGAGTCTGCTTAAGATTCTCTCTCTCCCTCTCCCTTCCCCCTCCCCGTTCTCTTTCTAAAAAAATAAAATAAAATAAAATGTAAGCTCCATGTGGACAGAGACCCTTCATTGCTACATTCTGACACTTAAAACAGATTCACACTTGATAGGGACTCAGTATACATCTGTTGAATAATATGTGACTTTGTAGAACACTTTACAGGTTGAGAAATGCCTTTCAATTAAAAGGAACTTTCATTTAATTCTCACATCAACCCGTGTTATAGTCCCCATTTTAAATATAAGGAAACTAGAACTTGGAGAAGGCATTTGACTCACCCTCCAGCAGCATAACTAGCATAAGGAGCAAAGCTGGAAGTTGGTTCTACTGTCCGACTCCTGAGAGTCTGTCGCTCAGGACTCTTGGCAGTAACATCTTCTTTAGGACAAATCATGACGGTTAATGGGATTTGAGGTGAAAAGTAGTAGCCCAGAAAAAGACCCGGATGTACAACAGAACAAACATGGCTTTTGAATACTTTTTGTGGACCTTTTGATTATAATAAGGGCTTAATAAATGTTTACAAGATTCATTAACAAAAACATTTTTCCATTGTTGTGAAAGGGCTAAGTCATTCCAAGTTCTACATTGCCAAATGGCTGCTCACGGTCCAAACAAAACCAACAAAAAGCTCGCTGTCCTGAAGTCTTCTTTTTAAAAAATAACACCGATACACCATTTGGCAAACACGACAGTAATCCTCGTTACAAACAAGATCAATCAATGAATGCTAAAACCAGTGGGCAAAGTTTAAGGAGAAGGGAAATTCTGCATAGTCTTGCAGTATCTGCCCCAAGATGTTTACTAGTTACGAAGGGAAAAATAATAACCTTATAGTGGGGAACCCACTATATTTTCCCCCACAGTGGGAAAATTAAGCAAGTGAACAAGGTTGACATCACCAGTCATGAAACCTAACCACATCAAGTTCCCCTGACGTGCTGCTCTGAGAAGAATACAAAATCATTCCTCCGGCATTCCTGCCCAAAATGCATTACTTCGATCTGTGCATGGGAACACAATGGATAAGTCCAGACTGAAGGCCGTTCTACAAAATCACTGAGCAGGGAGTTTTGTTTTTTTTTTTAAGATTTTATTTATATGACAGAGAGAGATCACAAGGAGGCAGAGAGGCAGGCAGAGAGAGGGGGGGAAGCAGGCTCCCCGTGGAGCAGGGAGCCCGATGTGGGGCTCAATCCCAGGACTCTGGGATCATGACCTGAGCTGAAGTCAGAGGCTTAACACACTGAGCCACCCAGGCACCCCTGAGCAGGACTTTTGATTCAAATGTATCCAGGTCACAAAAGGGAAACACTGGGGAACTGTCACGGGTTGTTGGACTGACCCCGACAATTAAATGCAACCAGGATTCTATGTTGGCTCCTGGAGAGAGAACGGAAAGGAGTGGGAAAGCTGGTAAGAGTCCCAGATCTTCGTTTCCTTAATTGTGCGATGGCTAGTTAGGGCGTGACCATCAGGAGAAGGTGGGCAAAAGGATACACAGGAATGCCCGGCACTATTTTTTGTGTTTCTGTAACTTTAAAATTAATTTCAAAATAAAATGTTTTTAGAAACACTGAGATTAAGTTTTAAAATAACATTTATTTAAAATTTTTCAAATAAAAAGTTATTTTAAAATACTAATTAATGCTTTTATTTTCCTCTGTGGTCAAAGAATGGAGAGTTCTGGTTAATCAGATATTTTTAAAGACTTACCACTTTTACATCTCAGAGATAATAGCCATTTTGCAATATAATGTTTTTTCAGATTGTCGCTCATCTCTTCATTTTTCTTTGAAGGTACTTTTACTTGAAATTTTTGTGATGTGGCTGAGTGGGTCAATCTTTTAACTTTAGGATTTCGTTGAGTCATTTTCTCCATTCCAAGTTCATAAAGAAATTCACCTATATATGTATTTTACAAGATTTATTTGAGAGAGAGACAGAGCACATGGGGGAGGGGCAGAGGGAAAGAGATTCTCAGACTCTGTGGTGAGCACTGAGCCTAGAACCCAACGTGAGCCTCGATCTCACGACCCTGAGATCACAACCTGAGCCAAAACCAAGAGTCTGGCACTTAACTGACTTCTTCCCCATTTCATAAGTGAACTCTCCATATGCACTTGAGATATTTCTGGATTTTCTATTCTATTTCATTGTCTTTTATGCCACACTCTCTTCGTTGTAAAGGATCTGTAATGTTTTACTATCAAATAAAGCTAAACTAACCTCCTTTCTCTTCTTTATCAGCAATTTCCTGGCTATTCTTGCTTATTTATTTTTATATGAACATGAAATTCACTTGTGTAGCTCCAGGAAAGACCTACTGGTATTTTAACTGTGACTGTGTTGAATTTGTAAGTTGATTTAGGATTACTTGACATCTTTATGAGTTCAAGTCTTCCTTTCCCACAAACATGGTATGTCTCTCCATTTGTTCAACTCTATTTTTGTATCTTTCAGGTTTTCCTAAGCTAGCATTTGTAAATTTTTTGTTATATTTATGTCTGTAAATTTTAGCTTATAGATGGGTCTTTTCTTCTGTTTTCTATCACCTGACTGGTCATTATATAGTTGAAGGCTCTTGATTTCTGTGTATTAGCTTTATTTACTACTACTTTATTGGACTTTTTTTTTCCTGAGGTAATTTTTCCACTGGGTCTCTTGGGTTTTCTAGAGATTTCATATCTGCAAATAGGGATAGTTGTCATTCTCTCTTCTATCTTTTCTACCTTCTACTATGTCATGCCCAATATTTATGCCTCCATATGTATGGAGGCAAGTATGACTTATCTAATTGTGTTAGCTAAAACCTCTAATACTGTATTTGGGAGGCCTGGTTGGCTCAGTCAAACGTCCCACTCTTGATCTCAGCTCAGGTCTTGCCCTTGGGGTTGTGAGTTCAAACCTCGTGTTGGGCCCCATGCTGAGCATAGAGTCTACTTAAAAAAATTCTAAATAATAATGGCAAGTATGGATATTCTCATTTTGTCCCTGATTTTAACAGAAATGTTGATTGTCCTTCCTCAGTAAGAAAGAAATTGGATTTTAGGCGGAGATACACATATTTCACGTGAAGATATACATATTTTCAGATCTACTTTATGAGTGTGATGGTTCATTTTATATGTCAGTTTGGCTGGGCTTCAGGGATGCCCTCGCAGCTGGTAAAATATCATTTCCGGGTGTGTCTGTGAGGCTGTCTCCAGACGCGATTAGCATTTGAATGGCAGGCTAAGAAGACCGCCCTCACCCAAGCAGGTGGTCATCATCTAATCCAATGGAGGCCTAAGCAGGAAAAAAAGGGTGGAAGAAGGGCAGATTTACTGTCTTTGCTTGAACTGAGATACAGATCGTCTGCCCTGGGACATCGGTGCTCCTGCTTCTCCGACTTTTGGACTCAGACTCACACCATCGGCTCCCCTGATCCTCTGGCTTTCAGACTCCGACTGAGTTCCATCAATGGCTCTCCTGGTTCTCCAGCTTACACACAGTAGTCACGGGACTTCTTAGCCTCCATAATTGTGTGAGCCGATCCCTATAATAAATCGCCTTATCCCCTCTCTCTATATATAAATATATAGATACAGATGCAGATACAGATGTAGGTATAGATGATACAGACAAATCCAATTGCTTCTGTTTCTCTGCAGAATATGACGTATTGAGTCTTTAAAATTATGAATGTGTGTCGAATTTGGTTGAATGCCTCTTAAGTGTCTATAGAGAGGATCCTATGATATTTCCTCTCAGATCTATGAATATAATTAAATATATTAATACACCTCCCAGCATAGCACTATTCTTTCACTCCTGGAATAAATCCCATTTTGCTTTAATACGATCCTGCATTTTGTTGCTGTCATTTCACTTATAATCTATTCATAAATAAATCTAATCTAATCTAATCTAGTCACTTATAATCTATTCATAATAATGAATAATATCTAATCACTTATAATCTATTCATAAAGTAAGATTGTTCTGGAGGATTTTTTAAAATTAAGTTATTGTTATCTGTATTATAGTTATCTCTGAAAAAGAATTTGGAAGTTTGCCTTCATTTCTTATTTTCGAGAAGAACTTGGTACAAAAGTTTTTTTCAGGTTTGATAGAATTCTCCTATGAAAGCATCTGGATGGAAGGCTTTCAGTGAGAGAGCTGTTTGAAAACTTCCCTATCGATTCTGTCGAAGTGACTATGTTTAGATTTTCTACCTTCACGGGGATCCAGTTTTTGTTCATTTGTTTTGCTTTATTTTTTTGTCAATTAGCTTTTTTTAAGTGTATAACTCGGTGGTTTTTAGGAAACTCACAATGGTAGGCAGCCACTACCACGACCTAATCCTAGAACAGTTCTGTCACCCCAGAAAGAATCCCAGACCTGTTAGTCCCTTCTCATTCGCCCTCCCCTCACCTCCTTGGGATCACTAACTACTGCCCCCTCCATGGATGACGACTGTGGACACTTCCTGGAAGTGTCATACCACCATGGCCTTCTGTGTCTGGCGTCTTCCACTTGGCATAATGTCTCCCAGTTTCACTCTCCTTGTTGCGTGGGCCAGTTCTTTCATTCTCCTTTGCTGAAGAACATTCCAGTGTATAGATACACCACATCCTGTTTATTCATTCATCAGTGGATGGACACTTGAGTTTCTCCTTTTTGGCTATTAGTAATAATGTTGCTATGAACATTCATGTGCAAGTTTTTGTGTGAACATAATTTTTCATTTCTCTTGGGTACCTGCCTAGGAATGAAATTTCTGGGTCACAGAGTAACTCTGTTTTGTTTAACTTCTTGAGGAACTACAAAACTGCTTCTGAAATGGGCTGCATCATTTTACATTCCCACCAACAGCATATGAGGGCTCTAATTTCTCCACATCCTCACTAACATTTTTTATTTTACATTAAAAAAAAATTATAGCCACTCTAGGGGATCTGAAGTAGTATTTCTTTATGGTTTTGATATGTGTTCCCCTAACAACTAACGATGTTTGGCGTATTTTCATATGCATGTTGGCCATGAAATATGTTCTTTGGAGAAATGTCTATTCAAATCCTTTACCCACATTTTAATTGGGCTATTTGTATTTTTATTACTGACTTATTAAAAGCTCTCTGTAAATTCTGGATGCTGACATATGATTTGCAAATGTTTTCTCCCCTTCTGACTTTTTATTTTCTTTACGGTAAAAAATGAGTTTTTAATTTTCATTTAGTCCAATCTACCTATTTTTCTCCCTTGATGACCTGTGCTTGATGACCTGTGTCATATTTAAGAAACCACTGCCTACTCTTTGGTCACAAAGACTTACACCCGGGTGTTCTTATAGAGTTTTATAGTTTTAGGCCCTACATGTAATCTCTTATCTACTTTGAGATAATTTTTGCATATGGTATATGGCAGGTGACCTACTTCATTTATTTGCTTGGATATACCCAGCTGTCCTAGCACCATTTGGTGAAAAGACTATTATTTCTCCATTGAATTGACTTGCCAACTTTGTTGAAGAACAGTTGGCCATAAATGTAAAGGTTTATTTCCAAACTCTCAACTCTGTTGCACTGAAGGACGTGGGTAGCCTCATGCCATTATGCCGGTATCACAGAGTCTTGATTACCCTAGCTTTGCTTATTTATTTATTTTCAGGATTTTTTTTTTTAAGATTTTATTTATTTATTTGACAGCAAGAGATAGCAAGAGAAGGAACACAAGCAGGGGGAGCTGGAGAGGGAGAAGCAGGCTTCCCATTCAGCAGTGAGCCTGATGCAGGGCTCGATCCCAGAACCCTGGGATTATGATGTGAGCCAAAGGCACATGCTCAACCACTGAGGCCCCTAGGCACCCCAGCTATAGCTTTGTTTAAATACTGAAATTGGGAAGTGTGAGTTCGACTTTGTTCCTTTTTGAGAATGTTTGTGGCTATTCTAGGTCCCTTGCAATTATGTACAAATTTCAGGATCAGCTTGCCGATTACTGAAAAAAAAATTTAGGGGCACCTGAGTGGCTCAGTAGGTTAAGACTCTACCTTCGGCTCGGGTCATGATCTCAGGGTCCTGGGATCGAGCCCAGCATCGGGCTCTCCGCTCAGTGGGGAGCCTACTTCCCCCGTCTCTCTGCCTGCCTCTCTGCCTACTTGTGATCTCTGTCTGTCAAATAAATAAATAAAATCTTAAAAAATTTAAAAGGCAGCTGGGATTCTGATAGGAATTATGCTGAATCTGTTGATTTGGGGGAGTATTGCCAGCTTAACGATAGTAAGTGTTCCAATCCACATATATGAGTTTTGACAAATTATACTCTACTAGAAAGCTGCCCTTCACAGCTAGATTTTCAAATTTGCTTGCACAGACTTGTACATGATTTATTTAAATTTTCTCTGTTTTGACTGTTATTTCACCCCAGTCATTCGTGACTTTTTGTGCTTTTCTCAAAGAAACAAAAAATGCCAGTGACTTTTCTTTTTTTTAACCTTTCACAAGGAACCAGGCTTTCATTTTATTTATTAGTTCCTACTGTTTCTTGGGGCCATTATGCTTTTATCTTCACCAATCCCTCTCTTCTGCTTTCTCTCAGCTCACTCTTCTCCCCTAGTTTTTTGAACTGAGTATTCTGTTCATCTTCTTATGCTTTCGTTTTGCTTGATGAAGGCATTCATGAGTTTTGATTTGGTTGTATCTCATGGATTCTAATGCCATTTCCATTTCCGTATGTCATTTCCATTACGGTTACTTTCCAGAAGTTTTCAATTTCATTGTCCTAAAATTTCCCCTTTGACCTAAGAGTTTTTCTAGACTCTTAAATTTTTTTTCCAGATTGAGCTCCAGATGGGGACATGAATGAGATTTCCCAGGAAAGGATATAAAGTGAAAAGAGGAATGGGGATGAACCTCCGGGGACATTAATATGTCATCTAGAGGCCCAGTTGTCCCCAAAAGGAGCCAAGAAGGAAGAACTGGAGATGTTGGATGAAAACAGCAGGTGAACGCAGGGAAGACAAGGGAAGAGACAACTGGTGACCTCAGGAGACCACAGTTTGAATGGGAATGGGGTTGGAGGTAGAAGTCAAAGTACCAATTGCACATGAAGAATGAACAGAGGGAAGGTTCTCAATCAAAACAAACTCTCCTTCGTACCAAGATTCTTAGCTATGAAGAGAAAGATAATGACAGGGCATTAGCCGGGGGTTTTACTGGGTCGGAGTTTTTTTGTTTTACGTGAAAGACATGCATGTAGTGGGATATTTTGCAATAATGAAAACCTTTCCATCCAATTCATGGTACCTTTTTCCCCCCAACCAAGGTTGCCAGCGCATTCCACATTCACTGCCTCAGGGAGAGGAGGACACAGCACAATACAGAGATCGGGGTGAATGTCAAGGGAAGCTGACTCACTTGTGAATGCATGGCTAGGCACTCATACCATCCAGGCCCGCCCCTGTGCAGACTTCCTGTTTCCGGTTTGCATTAGGCCATGGATTCAGGAGAGCTGCTGGGTCTCCTTAGGATGGAGAGCTCTCAGGGCTCGGAGAACTGCAGTCCTCGGGTCTCCCGTGTGCAGTCTTGGGCCCTCTGTGTGATGGGGCAGCTCTGAAAGGCCACCACACACACACACACACACACACACACACACACACACACACAGTTAGCCATTTTTTCCCCCAACCTCTAATTAAGATTCCTTTGAGCAGCGCATGGGAATCCCTCTTGCCCCATATCCTTGTCTGTAGCTGCTACTGAAAGATTTCATGTCACTGGAGCTTGCTAAAGTCCCTGTTCAAGTCTTTGCTCATGTCTCTCGGTGGGGGGCTTTTTTTTTTTAGACGGTCCCAGGTGATTCCAGTGTGCCCTCAGAACTGGAAACCACTGCTCTGGTCTACGTGTCAACCTACCTACCCTCACAGAGTTACATTTTCTTTCTAAAAGCCTAAATCCATTAGTTACTTCTCTGCGTTGAGGATTTCTGCATAACAGCATCCAGGCTTCGCAGGGCACAAACAAGACCACTCCCTGCACAGCCTCATTCACCTTTACACATTCATTTCCAATAACAATGCAAATGAGTAACATAGCCTCTGCTAATATCATTGGTATTGAATATAGAAAAAGACCATGTTGTGCACAACAACGAACCCAAACATTCAATATATTTTGTCTTCAATATGCTTATAACTCAGGAGACGCAAGAGAAAGAAGCTCTTAGCGAAAAACAAAAAATACTTCCAGATTTGGGTGAGCAAAGGTAAGATGGCCAAAATGAGCTCTCAGTGGAAAGGTTGGAAACCATTACAAAATGCACCGGTAGTTTTCAGGGAATAAACAGCAACAACAACAGCAACAATAACAACAAAAACAGCAACCAGACATTTGAGTGTCACGTCTCCGTAATTCAGAAAATGAAACAGAAGGCGAGCTGGTGTAGCTACCAGGCCTTTAAATTAACCAGAAGCCAACTTGAATTACAGCACGTGCAGCCTGGCTTCTGGCCCAGTTTCATCACAGCATTATGCAGTGACACTTCCAAACACTGGTTTCGGAGTCCCTCAAAGACCCAACTAATGAATTCCTATGCTCCTTGGGACCCTGTTCCCATAATCGAATCTCCCTTTCACAACCACTCGAATAGCATCCAGAACAGTCCCGTCTTTCTCACCTCCCCCAGGGAAAGACCAGATTTAGACATCTGGCCATATCTATAGATGAAATAGATGAAGTTTCTACCGCTCCCTCTGTGTACAACTTGTAGGACGCTGGATTCCAGGGCCACAATGAACTGTGGTCGGGACGGAGTCCCTTGCGCTGGGTACAACACGGAACCACTAGTTACTAACCCCTACTGCCCTCCTCACTGCCCCCCAAGGAGATCGGGGGCAATTTCAAACAACTCCCAGGCTTTTTTATGCAACCACAAATATATCTTCTCTCCATAGCTTGCAGTTTATAGGTTAAGTCATAAAGGGAGACATTTTTTACATCATGCTTGACAGGAGTAGCAAACAATGATGGCTGTTCCCCTAGTCCCCATCAGCCCTCTTCAACCAGCCACAACCTAGGACATAGCCTGTTAGATATCTAGGGTCCCCAAATCCTTCCTTGGGTTCCAGAGGAGAAAATTCAATAATGCCGCTCTGCAAGAATAACGAACACCACTACAACAAATGCCAGCATCCAGTGGCTTACTACACTTACGGCTTCTTTTAAATCCAAAATGAGTCTTCCTGATCGAAGAATGGCTTTGCTCCAAAGACTCATTCAGGGGGTCAGCTCCTTCCATCCTGTGGTTCCATCAATTTCAACACACGGCTTCCAGCGTCACTCGGCTTGTGTGCGTCCAGCCGGAAGGGGAGAAAACACGGAGGACTATACGTGATAGCTTTTTAAGCATCAGGTCTAAAAGTGACATGCATCACTGCCACCTACATTCCACCAGCCAGAACTCTAGCTAAACCCTACTTCCCAGCCTCCCTCTATCTTCAAGGGAGTGCGTGAATTTGAGCTTCATTATTCGCTCAGGAAGAGTAATAAAATTAGACTACCTAATCTCTACCACAGTCAACCAGCATGGTATGAATCACTAGCACTGCCACAGACGAGGAGAATTAGTAGCAATATTGGCCAAGATATTGGGTTGAAATGGCCTAATACACCCTCATCAGGATTTGGGGGTAACCGTACCAGATAGAGAGCAATCCTTGTGAGAGTTCCCTAACGTGCAGGTTGTGCTGCTTTGTACCGTTTGACCTGCTTCCCTGGGCACAGCTGTTTTAAGTGGAGATGGAAACTTAATCAAATATCTCTCTCCATGGGCCTACACCAGAAAGCCTATGACACTGTATCATTAGCACGCTGCTCTGTTATTATTTTATTTTATTTTCATTATATTGTATTTCCTATGTTAAGGAGACCACGTCGAGGCTGCGGGAATATGAACCTGGAAATCACGGAGGGTACACATCCAGAGGCCCCAGGAAGTACACTCTGAGACCACCAGTCCCCAGCCTCTGGCTCCCGATGTTCACGGCCATACACCAAAATCCGCCACTTATCCAGACAATACGGTAAACACAACAGACAGATAGCTATAATCCAGAGTCAGGCGAGTCAGCCTCCAAAGCTATTAAATACAGAAAACATCCTCTTTGTCACACAGCAAGTTAAGTGTCCCAACAGGGTAGTTGGACTCCAAGAGTTATTTGTCTGTCACGTGTATCCTATTCGGCTCCCGTTTATAAAGCCCGGGATATGGTTTACGGGGCTTTCTGATGCCCTCCGATACACTAAAACTTAGTGTATTTATGCACATAGACCAAGAGTAAACTGGGGGAAAAAAAGAATAAACTGGAAAGCTACATCCATTCTGGGCTCCGGAACGCTACTGAGATGTCATTAAAATGAACTTCAGCACGGGCTTGATCCCATCCCAAGGGAAGAGTACCGTGCAACGAAAGCATGCAACCATTTGAGGAAAAATGTAAGGGTGGGGTGAGAAAATAATGTGTATGTATGCACAGAATACTTCTGGAGTGATCCCTAGTAATTAGTACTCGAGTAACGAGTACTTTGGAGGGGTCCTGAGTGGCTGGTGGAAGGGAATTAGACTTTTCTCTGTACTCTGTTCTCTTTGACTTTTTAACCATGTAAATACATTATCTATGTAAAAAAAAAAAAATGTGTTTTTTTTAAAGATTAACTTATTTTGAGAGAGAGAGAGAGAACAAGCAAGCAGGGAAGGGGCAGCGGGGGAGAGAGAGAATCCTGAAGCAGACTTCTTGCTGAGCGCAGAGCTCCAGGTGGGGCTCGATCCCAGGACCCTGACATCATGACCTGAGCCAAAAATTAAGAGTCAGCCACTCAAACAACTGAGCCACCCAGACACCCCTAAAAATTGTATTTTTCACCTTACAAATTACAAAATTTTTCATTTTACAAACTCTTAATGTTTTCCTCATTACCTTCTCTGAATTTTAAAATAATGTTGCTCATGACCAGGAAACCTTTGAGATTCCACAATTTCTTCAATTTATTTTTTTCTTTTGTTAATTCAAGTAAAATTAAACTAATACTTTTTATTTTTTTAAAGAATGGGTATTGTGATCTTATTTCTACAGGATAGTCTCCTCCTTCATGCATTTAATAAATATATGTATACTGTGGAGCTACTATCCAGCAAACACTGTCCTAGATGCTAAAATACAGCAGAGAGCAAAACAGACAGAAGGTCCTCCATCAGGGAGATTATATTCTAGATTTTTTTTCTTCCACATGTTTTCTTTTTTCCTGTCTTTTCCCATTCCTCCTCCTTCCTTTTGTATCAACTCCCCACCCTTCTAGCCATGTACCTTATTACACATGGGTAAGAAAAACATCTAGAGCTACACTTGTCTAACATGAACAACTGTCCTTTCAGGAGGTAGGATTTGGGATGATTTTTTTAAACTTTAAGAGATTATTTAATCACAGTTATAATTACAGTTCATCAAGAGGGTTGTTATAAGTAAACCAATTTTTTAAAGATTTATTTATTTTAGAGAGAGAGAGAGACCGCATGCACTGGTGGGCTGGGGGAGGGGCAGAGGGAGAGAGAGACAAGCAGACACCCGGTGAGCAGGGACACCCCCCACCCAAACACACACACACACACACACACACACAAACTCAGTGCTTGATCCCTGGACCCTGAGAACAAGATCTGAGCCAAAATCAAGAGTCGGTCAACACCCTCAAGCAACTGAGCCACCCAGATCCCCATAAGCAAACCTATTTTTTACAAAGCAACTGGAAAGTGAGATGGTGAAAAGACAATGTATAAACCACTCTTGAGAAAAAATGTTTATTTTTACAAATAATTGTGAAATATTACAGGAAAAAGTACAGAAAAAATATAACGGCCATATATCCAGTATTGAGATTTAACTGATGTTAACCTTTTGCCACATTTGTTCCAGATTTTTTCCTGAACAATAAAACATGGCAGAAAACAGCTAAAGTCCCACTTCCCACTCTCCATCCCTTTCCCCTCTGTCTTCAGATGACACCACTATTCTGGGGATAATATTTATCATTTCCATGCATGTCATTGTATTCATAAACAAAAGACACCATTATTTTGTAGGTTTAAAATTTATATATATTGTATCAGAACATATGCTTCCTTCTGTATTATTTTTAACTCAACGTTGCTCTTGAATTTATCCAAGTTATCCTCTAGTCTAATTCATTAGTCATTTTGTTCATATGTGTGAACTATGTATAAATGGACCTCAGTTTTTATGATTAATTCCCTACTAAGTAGTCCATGGGTCCAACAATCCCATTCCTCTTTAACACTGTTTTTCCAGTGCACAGATACAGATCTATTGACCTGCACAGTTTTTCAAAGCTCTTTTGAGTCTCAAGCTTTCTCAGTTAATAATTGTTTTTCACTACCTGATTAAACGTATTGTGAAGGGTTGTTATTAACTTATCTTCAAACAAAGCATTAAATCTGAAGAGGTAGAATCATATTTATGGTATCTCCAGTCTTCTTTGGAAGTGTGATCCCTAATCCATCACAAAGAGGTTCTTACTACCTACTTCTTACTGAATTTTAGACAAGACCTAATACACTCCGAGGTCCTGCCAACTGCTTAAGAAACTCAAGTCCCCTTATCAGCGTAAAAGATGAACAGTGGGTGTTGTGTGCCTCAGGGAGTCATGCTGAGTTGAGGTGCAAGCACTGGAAAAGAGACCGCATTAGCAGGACACCAAGGGCTGCTGGGCTGAAAAAGTTTGCCCAAAGATGAAGAAA